TGTCTTGTAACTTGAAAAAAAAACACTTTAAAACTCCCCGCTTTCATTGCCCATAGCTACACTCTGTGAACTTGAGTGTCAAATCATCCTCCTTGGCAGAGAAAAAGCAATACAATGTAATTTGTACTCTCAAAATAATGGTTCTTAAAGGGAAATGAGGAAAAAAATATCTCGCTCACACAGAGAGGTTTGCTTGAAAATGCAGATGAGTAATCTGTGGGTGTATGTGAAGGGAGGAGGGTTATCAACTCCCTCTCTCCCACCTGCAGAAGTTTGGACCTCTCCCAGAGTTTTCCCTGCATGTGAAGTTCAGGGATGGTGATGCTCAGCACAGAGGGGGCCCATGTTTAGGTTCAGCCCTTCTGCCAGAGAAGAGGGAGGAATTCAACAGATCAGGAGAAAAAGGTAAGGTAAAGGATCACAGAACGTTCTGAGTTGGAAGGGACTCATAAGAATCATGGAGTCCAACTCTGAAATTATCGGCTCACACAAGGACATAAACCCACAAGTCTGGCGTTATTAACACCTTACTCCAACCAACAAAGCTAATCTCGGTGTCAATAACAATAGATCTGCAAACAATGGCCAGGACGTACTCACTCACAAAAGTCACCCCAGGTCTGCCTTTGTTTTAGGTCAGATGAGCATTCCCAAAACTCACAGTCAGCAAATTTTAGGAACCGCAGAGGACAAAAGGGAGAGAAAAGAGTATTAAGCAAAAGACCCTTACTGGCTGCACAAGGAGGACTGTTCTTTCCGTCTTCCTCAGAAAAGAGCATCGTAAAGGGTGGCACTGCTGGCTCCAGCTGTCCTTGATGGCTTCAACTACTTTCTGGAAATCCCAGAAAAAGTCATCAGAAGTTTAGGTCCAACAAAGACCAAGTTTTGGTGACTTTCAGTGGAAGAGAAGGCTCTTAATTAAGAAGAAAATTAAACTATTATTGGGCGACCAGCAGAATGCAGAAGTTAAGGCAGGATGGAGAAATGAGAGGAAAAGATGTGATTTCAGGCTCCTAAACTCTGGGAAACGTTTGTAAGTCAAACAGGAGGTGAGAGAGCTCAGTCAGTCTCGGGAGCTGCTTTCATACAGCAGCCAGACGTCAAACCCAGACTGTCCCTGCAGCAGCACCAGACGCTCTGCACACTTCAGTGAACCATCAGGGGAAGTGAGATGATCCCAGGGAAGAACTTCTTATTTTCTTGTTGTTTTTATTTTTTCCCCCCAAAATCCCCACCCTTCAGAGCAGCCCCGTCCGACTGTTTTTCCAGACTCCTTGAAAACACAAAAACAAACCTAAAACCAACCCCCCTTTTGTAGCTCAGGAGCAGAAGCAAAACTTTAGGCGAGGGATAAACAACGTGCTCAGCCACAAAGAAACTCAAGGCAAAGTCTGTCTGCTCTGCTCATAGCGCTGGTTGGAAAATCAGAAAGCTCCCAATTAACTTTCCTGAAAGATTTTTCTTTGGGAGCAATTAATAAGAGCTTTGCAGTTTGACTCGCGTTATTAATTGGATTGGGGGGAGTTAAAAGCGCAAACGGTCTATATGATTTTTTTTTTTTAGGGTCTGTAAACGAAGCTAACAGATGGAACTGACCAGTAACGTGCATCTGGCAAGCCGGGTTTCTTATAAACTTTCCTCCAAACAAAACCATTTTGGTGGCTTTGTTGTTGTTTGAAGTGAAGTTTGGGCTCCGAGCTGGCTGGTGGCGTGGCGGTGGGTTCGTCTGGGCTGCGTGTGCGTGGGAAGGGAGGATGGAGGGGGAAGGGGTAGGACGGGGGTCGATCTCTTACAAAACTGATCTCTGGCAGCGGGGTGATCTCCTGGAAGCGAGCTGGGAAGGCATCAGCCCTTGCACTGTGCGTGTGCTCCCCCGCAGCGCTCAGTGCTGGGTGACAACCACACCACGGCACCCACGGGATCCAAAAGAAGGGACTCTGTCCCCAGATCCCTCTCCCACACACGTAGTTTCCTGAAAATAAAATAAATAAACAGGCTCGTAGAGGGACAAGTGTCCTGCGGGGTGATTTGGTGGGAGGCGCTGCCGCCCTGGAGCGCCCTCGGTCACGACGGGGGCTCCGTGCGCTTCGCGCTCCCTCTGCCCGGGTCGCCATCGTCGTGTCCCCTCGCCGTGTGTGCCCCGTTCATGCACTGAGCCGGGCTTGACTTGGCCAGGTCGAGGAAAACATTTCCTTCCTCCTCTCCCAAAAAATAAATAATAATACCTACACAGAACTAAAGTTCTAAAGTGCAAATAACTGAAAATCAGCTGAGCTGGGGAGTGCACTGCCCTGGGGGGTTGGGAGGAGGTTTGTCCTTCTTCTCGAAGGGAAGGGATACCTCTCCCTCCTTCAGGAAAGCGTGCTAACGGTGTCTTAACTTTTTTGGTAGGTCTAAGCCTCCTTGCTCAAGGCTGGTGTGGCTGTTTCCACTGTGCTCGCCACATTCCAAAGGGGTGTTGGAAAGAGCAGTTTGCTCATTTCTAGGACTTTTTTTTCTTTAATTCTTTCAACTATCAAAATATTGAGACGATCAAACAAAACCTGAATTTAGAAGAATTCCTAGATTTATTTTTCAAATATACATTGGGGAGAAATATTTTTTTTTCCATTAACAACAATAGAACCGCAGGCAATCCAAATGAAGAGAAAGAAGCAAGTCCTTCCTTCCTTCCTTCCTTCCTTCCTTCCTTCCTTCCTTCCTTCCTTCCATTCCTTCCTTCCTTCCTTCCTTCCTTCCTTCCTTCCTTCCTTCCTTCCTTCCATTCCTTCCATTCCTTCCTTCCTTTTACTCTTTTCTCTCTTTCCCGGTGGGACGGGCGGGGCGGGGGGTCGGGGGGGAGCCCATCTCCTCAGCAACGCCCTGGAGAGGTGTGAGGTGTTCCCGCTGCCCCCCCCCGCCCGCCGGGATACCCTCACTTTCCCATCTCAGACAATGTATTTCCATTCCAGTCGTGTGCCTTTGTCCATTTGTAGGAAGAAAAGAGTGCTGAGTGACAGCTCCTGTTAGCCTGCATGAACAGATACCAATAAACCCTCCCTAAACCTGGACCTTAAAAAAAAAAAAAAAAAAAAAAGAAAAAGGAAAAAAAAAGAGGCAAGAGCGAGGCAGGGAGCCACATGCCTCTTTGCCTCCGGCTTATTATTAAGACACCTTCGCAGCTTAAACGCTTAAACGCGACCCAAATTAAATGGCAATTAAAAGCGAGTTACACCCTCTCCTATCTCCAGGCTTGTCACGGGTGGAAGCTGGCCATCAGCAGAGCCTCCCCGCCGGGAAATGCCATTTGGGCTGGCATCTTCTCGAGGGGTGTGTGAGCCCCCCCCTCCACCCCGAGCTCGCCTGGCAGTGGGCGGGCCCCCCCCCCGGGCGCTCCCCGGGCGGAGCCCGCGGTGGCTGCGGGGCTGGAGAGCCGCTACCTGGGGGCAGAGGGACAGGGGGGCGCCGGGCAGGCGGACGGGACTTATTTCCCCGAATGGCAGCTCCTCGGACCGGTGTCACTAAACAAATAAATCACGTACCCCCTTCAGCTTTGCAACCCGGGGCTACGCAGCCTCCGTGCGTTCCCATCTCCAAAATATATCGGCACTTGGAAATGTCGAACCAGTGGTCTTTAGCTCTTGCGTCCCCTTCTCTATTTTTCTTCCCCCTATTACAGATGTGATTCCGTAGATCTATATGTATTTTATGTATAATTCCATATCATATGTCACTGCAGTGATACTTTGTGGTCTCACCCTAGTTTTATGCTTGAAAATGCTATTTAAAGAAGCCTGTAAGATAACATATTAGGCAGCTTTAAAAGCAGGTTGGAGTGTGGGGTGGACTTAAATTCGATGTAAATGAAAGGGTAAAAAAAAAAAAAAAAAAAAAAAAAAAAAAAAAACAAACCCCCAAAACAAACCACATAGTTTTCATTTAGGAAAAAAAAATACAGTTAAACAGACACACATACAAATGTGCAATCTTAGATTCTGGTCAGTATTTAAAAGCAGTATAATCAACAGGAAGGAGCACTTACCTATTGAAAAGGATGGTTTAATAATATATATTAATATATATTAGCTTTATGTCTTCCCAATAAAATGTACACAAAATACCCCCTTCGATCAGATTAGTTCCCATATTAGCCTGGGTAAGAAAAAGCATTCTAAAGAGTGGAGGAAAAAATGTATAAAAATGTTGAAAGAACCTACAGTTCCTTATTAGGCGAAGATACAATATTTATTCCTTGTCTCCTGGGATGAAGCTCCTCTATCTATTGTCCTCCCAGTTCTCAGTGCTGATGCTTAATTTTCAAAACTTCTATATTACCAAGGGACCTACGACATCAGCCAAAGAAATACCCAGCAAGTACAAAATCTGATCCAGGGAGCAGCTTTTGTGCAGAGGGAAAATTTTGTTCCTACAGGTTTTTAAGGAGGTGCATGGAAAAGCGAGAGATCTGATCTATGCAGATACATTGCAAATTCTCTCTGTCTGTAGAGATTTTTTCTAAAAAAAATTGGGGAAATACATGAACTTTGGATTTTTCAAATTTTTCTTTTTTTTTTTTTTTTTTTTTTTTTTTTTTTTTTAAATTTGGAGAGGGGAGTTTTATCCAGAGTTGGGGGTTTTTTTTTTTTTTTTTTTTTTTTTTTTTTTTTTTTTTTTTCGGAGAACCAAAAAATGTCAACTACCTTTCCAGGTCTCGTCCACGATGCAGAGGTATTTTGTGTGTGTGAGTGTGTGTGTGTGCGTGTGTGGATGTGTGTGTGCGTGTGTGTGCATATGTGTGTGTGTATGTGCCTGTGTGGTTGTTTCCATTTTTTTAAAATCCATATTGGACCGTTACATTTAATTATAATCCGGCTTCAGAGATAACTTAAAGAAGTATAGAGAGAAAATTCGTTATGACATCTGTCGCCAGCAAGGGCAACTCATTACCACGTTAAAACCGTTGCCAGAACGAAAATCAGAATAATACCCCTAATAATATAATGAAGTGGAGGGAAATCACCACCAGCTCGCCAGGAATGGGGAGTTCTCGCTAGAAAGCAGGACTCTCCTTTCTTTCGAAACGCAGGGAAAGGAGGGGGGGAATTTTGGATCTGATTCGTTATTTTAAAAAGAAAGAAAAATAGGGGTTCAAAAAAAAAAAAAGAAGAGAAGGAAGGAAGGAAGGAAGAAAGGAAGGCAAACAGGCGGCAAAGCTTTCTCAATGTGTAACGCTGTAACATAGGGACGGGAGTTGTGTGTATTCTCGGTAGTTTGCTCTGTTTGATGACTTTTTTTTTGTGTCAGCCCCAGATATTACAGCTGTGATCAGGAGGAGGATGGATAGATGGATGGACAGATAGATAGATAGATAGTTTTTATTTCAGTGCGTGGATTCCTTTCACTTTACTGTATTAAGGGCAGGCTGGGCTGTTTATGATTTTTTGAACAGATCTTTATGGCACCAGCCCAAGGTAGGAAAGGATCTTTTGTTGCTGGGGTTGCCGCTCGCAAGCTTAGACGCTTCTGCAGGGGGAGAAGCTATGCAGGACAGCGTGCTTGGAAGAACCGTACCCGGGGCTTTCAATGACAAACCTCCAGTTTTGGGGTCTTCTTTTCACTTCTTCTTTTCAGATACGTCATGACGGATCAAACAGTTACCGTTTGATGCAGCTTGGATGCCTGGAGTCTGTGGCCAACTCGACCGTCGCCTATTCCTCCTCATCTCCTCTCACTTACTCTACCACGGGCACCGAATTCGCCTCCCCGTACTTCTCCACTAACCACCAGTACACCCCACTGCACCACCAGTCCTTCCACTACGAGTTCCAACACAGCCACCCGGCAGTCAACCCCGACGCTTACTCCTTGAACTCTCTCCATCACTCCCAGCAATATTACCAGCAGATCCACCATGGAGAACCCACTGATTTTATCAACCTGCACAATGCGCGGGCGCTCAAGTCCTCTTGCTTGGACGAGCAGAGGAGAGAGCTCGGGTGCTTAGATGCTTACCGCCGCCACGACCTGTCTCTTATGAGCCATGGATCCCAATATGGGATGCATCCAGATCAAAGACTCCTGCCAGGACCAAGCCTCGGGCTTGCAGCCTCGGGAGCAGACGATTTGCAGGTAAATAGCATGCGATCTCCTTTCGAGGTACCTTCTTCTCCCCTCCCCCCGCCCTGGACCCCCCCAACCCACCCCCCCCCACCCCCCCAGGTCTCCCACCCCCATTTTCCTCTGCTCGAAATAGCTCATACAAAGGAGGGACGATTCATCCCAAATCCGATCCAGAGCCCGTCCCCTCCAGATTAGTAGCGACAAGCAAAAAATGAGGAGGGAAAAAAAACCAAAACAAGGCAAGCTGTCTTTCTTGGCCAAACAAACAAACAAATTAAACAAAAACAACCTCGCTCCTGCCTTCCACGCGTGGGTTGTGTCTCTGTGATGGCTGAGACCATGGGGCTCATCCGGAGATCTGGGGGTGCGTGTGTGCCTGTACCAGCCCTTACCAAAGTCACACAGAACCCAAACAAAACCAAACCAAATCCATCTTCCTACTTTTCCTGAACTTTTACTTTCTTTCGGCAAACGGAACAATTTGCAGTGACAGAGCAGGAAAATTATTTAAGAAAGGGATGGAGTAAGAAAAGAGGAAAAAAGCAGGGCAGGAAATAAATCTGCTTTCCGACAGACCTACAAAGGCAAACCTTCCGAGCTATGAGGGAGGAAAGAAATAAACGGGAGTAATTGTTCATCAGAAAGACTCAGGATGATAAAAATCCCTCACAATATCCGATCTAGGTGTTAATGAGGTGAGAGATAAAGCAGATAAAGCTAAATTCACCTATCTATCTAATCATTCGTCTACTCCGCCCTAACCGGCATCTGGATCCATTCTAAAAATTCTATTTCTATCAAAACCTCAGCTTTATCCGCTCAGTAATCCTTTCCCCCGCGCTAAAAATTCGTCTCCGCTAAATCGAGCCGGTTGCTTAAATGAAATTGGTTTCCAAAATTGCAAACAACGCCCTCCTGTACCTAACACCCATTTCGAAATGTCCCCCAAATCAAAAGCAAACCTTCCTTCTCCCGACGAGCTGAGGAACTAAGGGCTTCCCCATCAGCAGGGCGAGACAAACGGGACCGTGTTTACTGTACTTACTTTCCCCCCATATCTTGCTCCCAGGCACACAAAGCTGGTTGGTCTTTCCAAAAACATGTAGCGGTCAAAGGCTTGGGGAAAAAAAAAAGCTAAAACAAACCTAAAACAATTTTACCCGAAGTTTGTAAAATTAAGGTGGTTTATTTTCTTCCTTTAAAATCAAATCACGAAAAAAAAAAAAACGAACCCCCCTCCATTTATCAGAGAAAAGAAATATTTCTCTTTTTTTCTTTTTCTTTTCTTCTTTTTTTAAAGGAAGAAAATAGACCCAACAACAAAGAATGTTATCTTTGAGGAGGAAACTTATTTAAATCTAGTTTTCTCCATTGAAATTCACTATATAATTTTATCCTCTCTGGCCATTTTTTGTTTACATTTTTCACAAGGATCTCCTTATGTTACCCCCCTCAAAAAAAAAAAAAATCTACCATTCACTGCTCAACCCAACTAAAACCTATTTACTCCTTTTTATAACCACGTCTGCTGCTGATTTTTTTGTATCTGTACAAATTTTTTTTCTTTGGCAGGCACAAAGCCTGGTATTTTTCAAAAGAGGGGATTAGGAACGTTTGCAAGACAGCAGACAATGCCTAAGTCCCGGGCAAAAAAGCACCATAGTTTATCCAATTTTCGACTTAGTGCCATTCAACTGGTCATTTATGCAATGTCATCCGACCAAACAACATGTTTCCCTTAAAAAAAAAAAAAGGAAGGGGGGGTTGGTTAAGCTTCTGGAAGGGCATTCTCTTTTTGTTTATTTAAAGGAGAAGAAAATCAACAGCTTTTCTTTAGAAAATATTAATTTTTCGATCACGTTTTATTATAAACTAAAAGACTTAGAGTTTTGTACCTGATCTTTTCTTTATTTTGCCTCCTCCCTCTTTTTCCGAACACAAGAGGGAGTGTGTAGAGGTATCAAAAAACCTGAGCGGTGAGAAGTTGAAATCATTCATATTTGTCGTTACGTTTTAGATGATTCAGAGCAAACTTGCACTCTCGCGAATATCACCTCGGGGTTAGTGAAGGGGAAGCATTTTGGTGGCGAGCAGAAACAGGACTGCTCACAAACACTTTTAAACCAAAATTGTGGTCTAACCAGCCTTCCCCTTTCCCCTTAGCCTTTCTTTTTAAAACGTTCATCAGCATATGCCTCATTTCAAATGCAACAAATGTAAATATACTTTTCCCTGCACAGAATTTTAAGTGAATGTCCAATAGTTTCGAGGGCGGTTTAAGTCAGCCTAACAGATGCAAACAGTCTTGGAGCTGGAGTGGCATCTTTCAGTGCCCTAAAAAGATTTTCCATGGGCAACAAAGAAAACTGTCACACCTTTTCCCATCACCGCTTTAATTTATGCTCAGTCGCCAAGTTTTTTTCATATTGATTTCATAATCACTTTAAGGCAGAACACTTAAAATAAAAAAGAGCCTTGAAAAGGAAGGTCTTACAGGGCCAGCGCCAATATGGTGAAAGTGGGGGAGAGAGCCAGGACTGTAAAGATTGTTTTGTAAAGTGGGGTTTTTATTATGCACCGACTCTCTCCGCATTTACTTAACTCTTCACGGGCTGTTGAATAGGTTAACACCCTTAAAGGCCTCTTTCATGTCCAATACCTCGTTTGTTTGTAGAGGAAAATGCGTCTTTAACACATTTCCACTGGGCAAAGATTTAGGTTTGGTTTGTTGTGTTTTTTTAACCCCAACATAAGGAAAAACCCAAAGAAAACCCAACCCTTTCAAGTCTTTTATCATTCCAATAAAAATATTTATTAAGGAGGGCGAAGATCCCCAAATAATCAGCCTTGTAAGAGGAGAATAAAGAAGTGAGATCTCTTCGGATGTGCAGCAGAAGCCCTAGGCAGGTTTTTTGATGGTTCCTCACCCCACGCTCACACATGGGTGCCTGTGTGTGTGTGCACACAGATGCATATTCATCCCCACCTATGTGCGGACACACGCATTGTTACAACACCCTTACGACTCTGTGTAGCCGGCAGAGCCCAATAGGTCATCTGTTGTTTGTGCTCTTTGTCTACTTCTTTGCACACTTTGTAAGTCGGTATATACGTGTCGCTAAACACACCTATGAATTTAGCTGCGTGTCTGAATATAAATATACAGCCAAACATACAAAAATACTATATAGAAGTGTATTTTTACCTTTGTGCGTGTAGAGCGGGAATACACGTCTCTCAGGAGTACTTGTTTGTCTCTCTCTGTCCTGCCACGTAACTGCCAGTCTGAGTTCCCAGTTCAGGATAAATTCTTATTTACATGGCAATGAAAGGAAAATTATTCTGCATTTGGAGGGGTAGGGGCTGACGGCACGATGGCGGGGGGATTTCACCAGAGCACTTGAGCTCTCTGAGAGAAACTGGTTTTCCAGTTCACCTTAACTATTGTTCCTGAGCGAGTCGTGTAACAAAGCAAAAACGTGTGATCTCTCTGTGGGTTTCTGTGTCTTATTTCTTTCTTTCCTTTCTTTCCCTGTTTTCCCCTCATTACTTAAGAGCTCAGTGGAGGCCCAGTGTGGACTTGTACTCAACGGGCAAGGAGGTGTGATAAGAAGAGGTAAGAGGTTACAAATCCTTGCGTCTATCAGTTTTTACTAACATACATCCCTCTCCATTTCTCCCTGTCTTTCCCTCCCCCACTGTTTAGCGTAGTTTGGATTTACTGCCGAAATAGTGATAATTTGTCCAAACTCGCTTAGAGCGCTTCACATTTCACAGTCCATTTGCACTTTGCAAACGATCTGTTCTTCGGTAGCTCTGGGATACTCCCGTTGAATTCAGAGTTTTCCTGACTCGTTGTATCATTCCCCGTTTAACCGAGATGATCCCTGATAGTTTGAGAAACGTGTTCCCTGGCGCTGGGCTGTTAAATCGGCAGTTTGATCTCGTGTGGGGAAAGGAGGGAGTTTTTTTGGAAATGTGGTTTCAGTAGCGCTACAGACCGGTGTGGAAATCGCTTTTTGAGTGTCACTTCACTTGATAACCATCTGTCAATGTAAATATCGAACGTCAAAGTTAGAGGAGAGGTTTGGAACTCGTTGTAAATACGCGGCTCTGCAGCGTTTGCGAAATCTGAGTGTCCTGGGGAGTTTGTTATTACCGTCGTTTATCCTGAAGAGAAACAACATTAGTCGAAAGGCCTAACGTAGGAATATATTTTCCTAATAAGTTTAAACGCTTCCTCTTATTCCCGATACAAACCGAATAATGCAGTCGGGGAGAGGGCACTTGGCAACTCGGCCTCTCAATGCGCATTTCCTATGCTATTATCCCCTTATTCATTGCACTCACCGTGAAAAAAAACGATATTTATGAGATATTTGGGGCGATTGTGGCAGGGAGCTGCTTCCAGCCATCACTTCCCTGGACAAACTTTAGTCCCACTGAAACAAAAGTATTTATTGCTGAAACCCCAGTCTCGGTGGGCGGGGATGGGGAGCGGGCTCACACCCCGGGGAGGGGAGGTTTTGGGCTGCTCCGTCCCTACACCGACTCAGACCAGGCTTTGTGCGGGTGTTGTGCAGGGCGGGCGAAGGGAGCAGAGGGCTGGGGAGGCGGCGGGGCCAGGACCGGAGAGGTGACAGCCCTGTCGCGGTGGTGCTGAAGGGACAGCTCCGCGCGGCCGCCCCGCTCCGCCCCGCACGGCCCCGCCTCGCCCCGGCCCCCCGCTCGGGGACAGGGATGCGGGCACCTGGGGGGACACTCCAAATGTGCAGTCCCCTCCCTTGGCGGGACGCTGTGGAGAGGAGCTGCCAATCTCCTGCCTCACTCGTGCTGCCGGTGCCTGCGCCCGCCCTGAGTCCTTGTCTCTCGGATTTCGGAGGGTTCTAATTATCCCCAGGAAGAAGGATAATTATCCCTAGGAAAGAGGATAATTCTTTCGGGTTTGATCCGAGAGCTGACCTCCGAGAAGCGGGGATCGTTAGCTGAAAGAGAGACAGACACAGTCCCCATCAGCTGGGCTCTGTGCCTGTCGTGTTTGACGGCGGTTCTCATTTCCCAGTTGAAGAGCGGCTCAAAGCTCAGCTCAGCTCAACTCCAGTTTATTCAGCTCTCCAGCTCCTGTTAAGGAGAATCCAATTACCTGTGCAGATAACGGTAGTGGCGTCTCTCTCTTCCCCTCTCTCTTTTTTTAAAGCGATCAAATTATTCAAGGATTTAAAGCTTGATACTAAAAGAAATCCAACATGAAAATGCAAGGTCTTCTCAACCCCGATTTAAGTGCTGAACTACTCCTGCACTGCTATCTGTTTCTTGGCATATTCAGGGAAGATATCAAAGGCAAGAGTATAAGTTTCAAATGTATATTAAAAATACATAATAAATATTTTGTCCAACTTCAAAAAAAGCGATAGGTGTTAGCAGTAATCAAAACACCCTGTGCCTAAGCGCTGTACAGTATCCCGTATAAATAAATCACACTTCTTTTCTAGTAATACATCAATAAGAATATATTAACTCGAGAGTGGCTTCCCTAACATTTTAAACATCTCGTGTCAGACTTTTTATTTTATTTTTGTCACTAATATATACATATATTTTTTAAAAGGTTGCTTTTGAGTGTTTTAGATGCAGTAGCAGAAGGAAAAGGGGAAAAGGAAGGGGGGGGAAGAAAGGGGAAAGAAGAAAAGAGGAAAGAAGAAAAGAGGAAAGAAGGAAGAGAAAGAAGGAAGAGAAACAAAGAAGGAAGGAAAAGAAAGAGAAAAGGGGAGAAAGAAAAAGAGAGAAAGAGAGAAAGAAAGAAAGAGAGAGAGAAAGAAAGAAAGAAAGAGAGAGAGAAAGAGAGAAAGAAAGAAAGAAAGAAAGAAAGAAAGAAAGAAAGAAAGAAAGAAAGAAAGAAAGAAAGAAAGAAAGAAAGAAAGAAAGAAAGAAAGAAAGAAAAACTTCTCAGATACTTTCCTAGAGGAATACACCACACCCTAGTCCTCTCCAAAGAAAAAGCAATCCCTAAAAAGTGTCATGGTTTGCAGTCCTGGTGTTAATAGTGATGGAAATGACAAACATCCCAAACACTGCTCTTCCCTGCTTCCATCTCGGTCTACCACTGCACATATCAGCTGCTTTCTAGATTTTTTTAGTGCAGTGATTTGGTGTTTGCTTTTAATGAGGCTCGGAAAGTACAAGATTTTTGCAAGGCTTAGGTGCTGGCGAGCTAATTACTAGCTAGAGAAAATATTTGCCACCGATTCCAGGGCAGAGATCCCTATGCTATCACTTTCAGTTAATGGTGTGCAGGATTTAGCCCGGAGCTTCCCTGCTCTAACCATCAGAACCAATAATCTTTACTTTTCCTACTGCTCGTGTATCGATAGCTTCTCTAGCCTCAGGCAGCGGCTTTGATATGTTAATATTTCTGAGTACCAAATTCTGCAGAGATCATATTAATGTTGTACATACAGAGTGGAGCTTTGCCTTAAAGTTGAATATTCAGATCGCTCGTTTCAAAAGAAATCACTTGAAGAAATGAAGCTTCTATTTACAGGAGTCGTCTGTGTTTTTTAATCATTAAAAAAAATCCCTCCCCTCTTATACTTTCCTATTAATCGTCTCAGGCTTTTATTACATACCATTCCCTTTTAATTCCTCTCTAGGTTGCCATTTTAAAAGCAGAATAACCTGATTCCTGTTTGATTTTTCTCTCTCTCTCTTTCTCTTTTTGATTTTTTTTTCTTTTTTTGGGAGGTTGGGAGGGCGGGAGGACCTACACAGTTCTTTTTAAAATGCCCTCCAAGCCGCCTTCCACACCCATCCCTTCCCCATTCCTCGGACATGAAGTGCATGCAGGCTTGGTGTCCTCACCTCCATATATTTGGATTAAAAAGACAACACGGTGACATTTGGCCTGCATCGTTTTATGAAATCGAGATGGCAAACTCCAAAAAAAGCTCTTGTTTCGCTTTGTGATCATCCATCGTTCCTGCCCCAGGCTAATTTCAGAAGCTTAAATACTGCTATCGCCTCTGGGCCATGAAGAGAGAAGGGCCAACCTATCGGCAATAGCTCTTTTTCGATTGCCCTTGGCAACATAAAATACAAACCACTTTGAATCAAAACATTTTTGGGGAATTAATATGATCTGAACTCTGCACGTTTTAAGAGATCTTGAGTTTGTCAAATCGCTTAGAGGTGACTGACATCCGAATGCATTAGTGTCTGGCTAGGAACAACCCTCAGATCTTATTTGATTAGAAAAAAAAATATAAAATAAAATTAAAAAAAAAAAAAGGAAGAAGAAAAAGAAGAAGAAAAAAGAAAGAAATAAAATAACCACCCTCTTCTTAAAAGCTCAAGCATCAGTCACCATAAAGTCTACCAATAAAATCCAGGGAAAGACGCTCCCCTTTCTCCCCTCTCCCTTTTATGTACTTAGTAGTGGTATCACCTCTCATTTGAAAGGCACTCACTGAGTCTTGATCCTCTCCCTCATTCTAATTTTAATTTTTGACACTCCAAACTACCGCTTAATGACTCAGTCATTAAGGATGAGGCTTTGGGCAGAAGGTTGGAGGAGGCGGGTGAAGGCAGGGGCTGAGGGCTTTGCACCTCGCCCCAGGAGAATCTTCTCCCCTGCTATTTTGTGTGTGGAAACGAAAGGGGAAAAAATAAGGTGCTGGCGTGTTACCACCTCCTCAGGCATCCCGGGATGAAAGAATCGGCAGCGGGGACACAGAAGCATAGAACCATAGAATAATTCAGATTGGAAAAGATCTTTAAGACATCCTCCTTCATCTTGCTATCCCCTGCTGTGGCAAACCGAGTCACCTGGTCAATCCTGTCCCTCTCTAGTCCCAGAAAAGTGCCCAAGGACCCCCATCAGCCCCCCGCACCCTCCGCCCGTGTCCCGGCCGTGTGTCGGCCCAGGTGTCCCTGCCCACCGGCAGCTCCAGGGACTGGAGCGGTGCTGGTGCTGCGAGCGGGGATCCCCGCCGTGGACCCTGCCCCTAAGCCCAGCTTTGAGCCCACTGCGGGTAGAGCAGTCCACCTCATTGTCTTCCCTTTGTTGTCCCCTTCCTTCCCCTTTCCCGGCTCTTCTGAACCTTACAAGAGCTTCGGGACTCCTGTAATAGCCCATCATTGTGTTGAGATCTTAACGCGCTGTCATTAGCGCTGTTGTCTTCTTCTTTTCTTTTCTATTCCAAGGGCCAATTTAAATCGCATTAAAACCCTAAATAGCTGGCTTAATTAATGGCTTTCGCGGCTCCAGCTGAGATAATCTCCAGCAGACTAAAGCCAAATCGTTCGGTGACTTCCAGCTCGCCAGGAGTTTGGGGACGGGGGAGGCTGAGCAGAGGGTTTGAGCGGGCTCTGCCCGGACACCGAGCGCTCCGCCGGGCCGGGAGGGAGCGGAGCCTCCGTTCCTGTCACCAGCCAGGGAGAAGTTCGGTGAAGAGAGAAGGTTGGGTTTTGAGAGCTTTTTTTGTTTGTTTGCCTGATGGTTTGTTTTATTTTGTTTTGATTTTCCGGTGGGATGTTGTTTGTTTGAGGGTTGAGTTTTATTTTTTTGGTCGGTTGTTTGTTTGTTTGTTTTCCCTGCTGATCTGCAAAGGGATATTTCTG